TTTTTTTTTTTTTATGTTAGTAAGGGTATGAATGTCATTTTTGGGTGCGGTAAAATGAAAATGGGTGCGGTAATTAGTATTTCAGTAACACAAAATATCCAAATTCAAAAAGGAATATCTAAAAATAAAAAGAGACACACACGAAAAAAGTCGCATAAAAATCTAATGCACAAGACACCATAACCCCTCTTCTTACACAACGATCTCCCTCTTGCTGTCGGATAAACCAAGGCATAAATCCGCCATCCAATCCAAACAAAATGAGTTCGCAAATTATCAGTTCTTATACCAAAAACTCCAATTTACAACTCAAAACTCCTATAACTCAGACTTCAAGTTTTAACGTCAACACAACTAATGAGTAATGAATAAATAAACAAGTCTTCTTTACAACTATTTATTCTTTCTTTTTTTTTTTTTCCTAAAATGTTAAAAAACCTGATATAATTAACTGGCTGAATGCTGTTGAGAGCACCATGGTGTGAATAGCAAGAAGTCAGGCCAAATCAGAAACTTCTTTCTGCATTTTAACACTGCTTGTGAAAAGGATGGCAAAATGGTCTTTTGTTATGATCACCATGCTCAACAGCCCTATCAGGAGGGACTCGAATACAATCACAAAAACCGAGTACTTGAACTTTGCAGCCCTCGGGTGTCCTGGCCCCAGCTCATTCGATACCCGAACACTAAATAGAAAAAAAAAATAGAAGTACAAGAATTAAACACTTTTCATTGAGAAAAAAGCCGAAAAAGGGCGAGTTTTGCAAGGATGGGATAAAATATGCATTATCTTAACACTTACCTTATTGTTGCATTAACTCCAATGAATAGCATTCCTTCCCATCCATTCAAGTTCATGCTGAAAAAAAAAAAAGTGATTAAACAGCATAAAAACAAGAAATTATACAAAATTAGGCACTAAGAAATTTTTAGACATATATTATATACACAGTAGTTTAGTTTTTGTATATAGTGGTTGCAAGCACTTCTCATCTCACTAAGAGAGATTTATCATACCAGAAGCTAACTACTGTTAGGAAACAAAAAATTGTTACAGTTTTCAGATAAAAGCTCAAAGAGAGCATACACTGAATAAGTATATTTGTGTTTGCAAAAATAAAAATTGAGTTTTTCCCAGCACAATCACTTAAATACTGCCTGCAAGCACACACATAAAATATTAACATCCTCAAAATACTCACCATATCGAGAGTTACCAGACTGTCAGCACAATAATACTCATAAAGTACCAAAATCTCCCTGAACACAAGCCACGACAGCCCATGCCAGCTGTCTTCACACCAATAATTAAAGGTGACGGTCAACTTTTTTTTATTTTTCCTTGTTAATATTTGCAAACAGGAGCTTAAGAACTCAAACACCTTTTGTCAAATAGCGGTATTGTAATGGTTTCAAGCTTTTCACCAATGAACCCTCACACACACAAATCAACAAGAAAATATTGTAGCATTAATCGAAGGATAATTACAAAAGCTACCCTGAGGTTTAGTCTAGTTACTAAATAAACCATCAAGAAAAAGGCTCAAGAGGAAACTGATTTATCGATTTCCATAAAGATTATGGGTTTGGTGCTGAAAAATGAGGTTGAGGTGGGAGCGGCATTGTTGTCCAATGCTCATCCCACAGCAATTTCTGTGAATCCCATAACCTTGGATGCATTGGTTTTTTGTTCTTTTTTTTTTTTCCTTATGGGATAATTTTCTTGTTAATATGATATTTGTAAAACGAAGAAGAACAAGAAGAAAATATTTATTGGAATTAATAGATCTCTTCAGAATGCAATTGTTTCTGCATGCAGGGAAACTGGAAGTTGAGATGGGATTTAAAATTTTGGAATTAATAGATCTCTTCATGATGGGAAATTCAATAGATATGGGAAATTAATAGATCTATTCATGATAATTTGCTTTAGATATGGGAAATTCAACGGTTGTTGGATGATGTAATACTCTAATTAAAGCATCAGTTCAAGACTAACTGAATTAGTCTTTACCTTTGAAGTTAAATAATATAGGAACTAAAAGTAGACCAAAGATATTCATTCATTCATGTGCTTCTTTCTTTTGGTTTCTCATTACTTATTTCATCTTGAAATCATCTTTTGCTATATATTGAGCATTGCTGCACATATTTTCATTTCTTGTTCTCATATTTTACAAGCCCCACCATCATTCGGATTACAATTGCAACATAACCAAATTTTCACCTGAAGCAGCATTAATTCTTTAAAAAAAAACAACAGTGGAATTTTTTCCAGTTCCGAGAATTTTTATCGAGCGACAATATACGAACTAAAAAGCATTTACATTAGTAAGCTTCGACCATAGCTACCTCATAATCGCAGTCCTCAACGGCATCACGTCTGCTCATTAAATACTTCAATCATTTGACAAAAAAGACGTGTTCAAGTGCTGCTCAAGGTGAAACTTTCGAGCTTCATTGTTACCTTAGCCAACCATCTGTCACAAAG